CAACAATGTATCGCTCAACAATACAACCCTCTGGGCGACTTCGGTTTTTCATGTACCCTTTTAATACTTTCATATAACGTTCAACAAGGTACATCCATCTCATATAAGTTGGGCCGCACAACTTTGTCTCTTTCACAAGATGAACAACTAGATGTACCATTATGTCAAAAAATGAGGGAGGAAAATACATTTCAAGCTCACACAAAGTAATAACAATTTATTTTTGCAATGTTGGTAAGATCTCAGGATCAATCACCTTACTAAAAATTGACCTAAATAAAAAACACAACTTAGTTATCGTACTCCTTACTTTATCTGGAAAAATAGAACGTATACCTATTGGTAGAAAATGCTCCATTATAACATGGCAATCGTGCGTCTTTAAACTCTTTAACTTGAGGTCTTTCATAGACACAAGTCTTCTAATATTTGAAGAGTATCCTTCTGGAACTTTAACTTCACTTAGAAACTTACACAATATCTTTTTCTCCTTTATAGATAGAGTAAAAGAAGCAGGTGGTAGATATGTTCGGCTTCCTTTCTTCACGGGTCCTAGTTCAGTTCGTATTCCCATCTTTAACATGTCCTCCCTTTCTTTAAGGCCATCCTTAGACTTTCCTTTAATATTGAGTAACGTACCAATAACACTTTCAAATACATTTTTTTCAATATGCATAACATTAAGAAAATGTCTCACATACAGAGACTTTCAATATGGCAATTAAAAAAAATCGATCTCTTCTTCCACCCACCTTTGACAACCGTATGCGCAAAAGGCTTGCCAAACTGAGTACACACATCTTTCACCTTTTAAAAAATTTGGTCACCTGACAATGTAGGTGGAGCTTTACGTTGTTCGGTGTCTCCATTGAATGCTTTTCTCCATGCACGATAGTGATGTTTAGAATGTAAGAATCTACGATGACCGAGAAACACATTCTTCTGACAAAGTTCCAAATGCGTTATATCGGTTCCATCTTCACAAACAGGACACGCACGTTGACCTTTAATGCTATACCCAGATAGATTCCCGTATGCTGGAAAATCATTAATTGTGCCAAACAATATCGCCCTCAAATTGAAACTTTTTTTCCTATATCCATCATAAACCTCCACCCCGTTCTCCCACAAAATCTTTAAATCTTCGATCAAAGGTGTCAAGTATACGTTTATGTCATTCCCTGGTTGTTTAGGCCCAGATATTAACATAGATAACATCATGTACTTACGCTTCATACATAGCCATGGAGGTAGGTTATAAATCATAAGAATCACATGCCATGTGGTATGTGAGATACTTTGAAGACCATGCGGGTTCATTTCATTAGTAGATAAAGCCAATATAAGGTTTCTTGCTTCTTCTCCAAAATCAGGATAATCATTATCAATTTTCGACCACTGTGGTGAATCTGCCGGATGTCGATACTTCCATCAATAATTCTTTCATTTGCATGCCAAGTAAGGTGTCTTGCATCGGTTTCACTACGAAACATTCGCCTAAATCTCAGAATTATAGGAAAATACCATAAGACTTTTGTTGGAGACAATTTTTTCTTATATCGAGACAAGCCGCATTTAGGGCACTCATTTAACGAAGCATATTCGTTTCGAAACAAAATGCAATCGTTTGGACAAGCATGTGTCTTATCATAGCTCATGCCAATAAAGCATAACATTTTTTTGGCCTCATAGGTTCGATTAGGAAGAACATTATCCTTCAGAAGCATATCTCTCATAAGGGCTAATAACTCTGAAACTTTTATCTGACCATCCATTGCCCGTCTTTAAGTTGTACAACTTTAATACCGCAGACAGTCTTGTGAATTTAGTGCACCCTTTATACAACGGTTTCTCTGCATCGCTTACCAATCTCTCAAACATTTTGGGACAATCCTGAAGATCTTCTTCAAGTGCATCTGCAATCTCTTCGACTCGATCAAAATCGTATATATCTGTGTCTTTGTCGTCTGAAGCATAGGTCGTACAACTTTCCTCCCCCAGTTCAACGTTGTCGTTACTTTTTTCATCGTGAAATATCCAACACGTATAACTTCTATCAATTCCATGCATTAGTAAATGTGATTTCAATCCATCTGCGTTAACCCGACCCACATAACAACAACCCAAGCAAGGACACTTCATTTGACTGGGGTCTTTGGCGTGTTCAACAACAAACTTAACGAATTCCAATAACTTATTCTCGTACTCTTGTGACGATCGATCGACAAACATCCATTTTCTATCCATTTTTTTCTACTTATTCAAGTAAACAAAAACACTATAAACGAATTATTCTCTTTTTGTTTAAATTAAATGAATTATTTCTAGAAATTTATTTCTAGAGTTAATAACATGGACTAAAAATAAATATATCTATATAAAAATAATTGTGTTTTTTAATTGATCGATATAGATAAAATTTGAACTTGACTTACCAAAGAAAGAAAAGGGGCTATTGGTGTCGGCGACAGATGATGCGGCTTTGACGTTCTTCAAATCGATGATGGTCTTCACCTAACTACACCAATACAAAAGGATCATCAAAAACAAGTTGTATATATATTTAGGTTCAAAATACTAGTAACAAAATACTAGTTTATGGAAAATATAAACATGATAAACAATTCAGAAACCAACTAAAATAACAAAAAAACCCATCATATATATCATCTTTTATATTCCAAAACATAGAACCAAAAGAAAATGCAATAATGCTAAATGCTAAAAATGTTGCTGTTATATATCAAGCCCTACCAAGAATCCAAAAATTAAAATGCATACATATAACCCAGTTTAGACATCAATAGGAGATAAACACATTTTGACATCAATGGATATTAACATATTTTCAAGGATGATAACTCAGTTTGGACATCAATGGAGTTAAACACATTTTCAATAAAGAACATACCTTGAGAACCGGCCGGCGTGGGTGGAGGAAAACAGAGCGAGATGGTGGAGGACGGTACGACGACGAACGATTTGAGACGGAGAAGGAAATGGGTTTCACGAGGGAAAGGGTTTCTAGCTTAAGCTTATGTTTTCGTGATACTGCGAATACAAAGATTCTATTTTTTTAATTTTCACTTATAAGGGTTTAGACAGCGCTTTCTAAAAGCGCTGGCTAATATGGACCTTAGACAGCGCTTTTGAAAAGCGCTGGCTAATAGTGTCCTTTAGCAGTGCTTTTCTATTTTTTTTTTAATTTTTTTAACTTTAGACAGCGCTTTCTTAAAGCGCTGTCTAAAGTGGCCCTTTACCAGCGCTTATGATAAAGCGCTTTCTAAAGCAATCCTTTAGCAACGCTTTTTAAAAGCGCTGTCTAAGGTCATATGTTTAGCAGCGCTTTTACTAATTATTTTATACGGTTTTCGTGTTTTATTTTAATTCACTTATAGCAGCGCTTTTGTACAAAAGCGTTGTTTAATGTGCGCTGTTAAAACTCACTTTTGGCGTAGTGACTGCAAGCAAGATTCACTAAGAAATCAGGAAAAGAGAAGGTAAAGCAATAATCTTGATAATGATGAGAAGTCAAACAAGAATTCAAAAAATCACTCGGACTCAACTAAGAAAAGCATGTGCAACAAGTATTCTAGGAAGAAAGTTGACATGAAAGAGGTGCAGTGTTACAATTGTTAAGGACTTGGTCAGTATGCTCGAGACTGTCGAAGAAAGAAGGAAGCATGAGCGAAAGATAGTGATGAAGCGCAATATGCGCATGCTGGAGATATTGATTCTAATGATGTGTTACTCATGGCTAACACTCAGTCAAACACTGAGCTAACCAACATGTGGTACCTGTATTCAGGATCCATTAACCACATGACTGATAATAAAAACTAGTTTACTAATTTATATGAATTCGTTAAGGTGATAAAGTTTGCATATATAGACATGTCACGTCCGGTGAAAAAGAAAACATATTCACGGTGAGAAAGGATGGTCAAAGGTCCAACATTTCAGATAATTTTTAGTGTTAAAATCGTCTAAACTGTACCGCGAACATCGTAACAAGACAGAGGAAATTTGAAATAGTATTATATTTTATTATGGAATTTAAATAATAATATTTATATTTATTTTAAATTAATATAACTAAATTTAAAATTATAATACTATTATTTCATTTATTTGATTAAATTTCATTACGAAATTTATATATAATGTTTTATATATTTTGGTGTTATATATATATATATATATATATATATATATATATATATATATATATATATATATATATATATATATATATATATATATATATATATATATATATATATATATATATATATATATATATATATATATATATATATATATATATATATATATATATATATATATATTTCTTAACAAAAGAAATTTATCGAATAAAAAGTAATTTATAAATATTTAAAAAAAATGTAGTCATAAGGTTTATGCTTATGTTTAATTTTTAATTTCTATTTGTGAGTTTTACTTTTAAAAAATAGATTAATATGTTTTATCTCTTGTAATGTACTGATTTTCGCTTTATTATTTATTTATTTTTTGAATTACTCCTGAAATTTTGTTTATTATCGTTTAAACGTATAAATTGAATTGGGGATAAATAAAAAAAGAAATATTAGAAAAAGTAATTTATGCACAAATTTTAATATTTCAAGGCTGATTCAAAATTTCTTTTTTACATGAGGGTAAACTAAACAAATAAATTGTGTAGATTTTTGTTTGCGTAGTCCATAAAGTAAATAAGAAACTCAAAGGTCTCTTCTTCCAAACAGGATTCACTGTTTCTTGTGCCTTTGGTATGTTTGGGAAGAGCGAAATAGTAAAAGATGTCTGGCACGCGCAACCCTCATGATTACATAAATATAAATACGCAATCGTCATGCAGTTAACCATCATGATTTCAAAGGGAAACAAAATGTCACATTCATCATTATAAATTGAGTTTTCTGAAGTTAGCCTATTTGCAAACAGAATCCATTCTCTTGTCACTATCGACGTCCACGAGAATGAGTTCGAAAAAGAAATCAATAGAAAAATCTATTGAACTATTGAGTTCTGAATTTTCTGAAGTGAAGAGCATGGTTACGGATATGAAACAGTTCTTTGCAAAGTGGGTGGAGAAGCAACATGCTGATCGATGTGAGAGTTATCAAGCCAATGAAAAACTGATTCCTTCACGTAATAAGAAGAAACGTGTGGGAGAATCAGATGAGAGCAGTCATGAAATGCAAAATTTCGAGTCTGAAGAAGAGCCACGACAGAATCCTCTTGGATGGATTGCCAAAGCTGAAAAATGTTTTGAAGAAAAACTGAAAGCGAAAACTTTTGAGCTTAAAAAGAATGTGAATATGACAAAAAATCTCGAACTGGAGATTCAGCAACTTAGAGCATCGCTAAGTGTTTTGAAGGACACTGTAGATGATGAAGATGAAGAGCTTTTGAAGAAGGTAGATGCTTTGCAAAAGGATTTAACGGACCAGGTAGAGTTAGTTCAAGACTTAGAGGAACTGAACCAAACACTAAGCATTATGGAACGTAGGCATAATGATGAGCTGCAAGATGCTCGAAAACAATTAGTTCATGTAAGTTTTCTTTTTTCTTTGAAGTCTACTTATTTGGCGAATTGGCTTATTAAGTTTTTGTATTGTTGTTTTGCGTGTTACAGGTGATTAAAGAAATATCAACTAGTAGCGACTATATTGGGGTAAAGAGAATAGGGGAACTCGATACCATACCATTCCTCGATGCTATGAAGAAAAGATACGACTCAGGTGAAGCTGAAGATAGGGCTGCAAAACTATGCTCTTTGTGGGAAAATAATATAAAGGACCCTCATTGGCATCCATTCCAAATTCTTACGATCAATGGCCGAAGTGTGGTATGTTTTGTTTAAGTTCAGCATTGTTATTGGGGACAATGACTTTATCTATAGCACAATCTGTTGAAAGTTTATTTCATATTTATTTTAAATTTTCATTTGTATCTGGTTTCAATCATTTGCTATTGTAGCAAGTTATTAACAAAGAAGATAAAAAGCTAAAGGGACTGAAAAAAAGCCTTGGTAGAGCTGCATATGATGCTGTGGTGGTAGCTTTGACAGAGATAAATGAATATAATCCTAGTGGGGGATACGCAATATCAGAATTGTGGAATTACGAAGAGGGAAGGATAGCAGCATTGCAAGAAGGAATAAAGTTTCTGTCCAACAACATATCAAATAAGCGCGCGAGAGAAATAGAAACGGAAAGGGTGATTGATGTTGATTATTCGGAGAAACGTCAAGAAAAATAAGATGGAGATTTTTTGCATTGCAGCTTGGTAGCATGCTTCCATGTTTAAGGAGCTTTAAGTCCATCATTTTGGTCAGCTTAAGTAGTTATTTTTACGAGACAATTTGTAATGATCTTCCTGAAAATCAAATTGCATTTATTGTAACAACTTTTGTACTATCTCTATAGCATGGGAGAAGACCTGTTGATCTTATTATTGTCATTTATCAATGTTCTTTCGGCAACATATTAATATGACATTGTTATTTGTCTATTATTTGGTTAGTATTAAAGTGAATAGTTCATTATCCATTAGCAAAAGTCAACGTTTACCTATTTACATCCACACTCCTTTTTTTTAATTTTAAATATATTAAATAAATTATTTTTTTAGCAGAGAAAGGTTATATAAGGTTTTTTATTTCTGCCCTAATGGAGTTGGTCGTATAGCTTCATTATTTTCTTCTATGGAACTATTCAAAGAAATTGTCTTCGATGGAAGGTGTCAAAGTCATCATCTTTGTTTGCTCTAACCTAACCTTTCAGCTTCATTTCTTTTTTAAGTTTACAGATTTACAACAATATTAAAATAAATAAATTCCACATCAGATATAAAAAGTCCAAGATGACATCTTTTAACATTTTTCCAATAGAAATTAGTAGAAAAGACCAAATAATTTAATGTAAGTGAAGTTAAGGGACCATTATGTAACTTTTTTATAGGGGATCAAAGTGAAACTTCTTATAAAGTTAAGGGACTAAAAGATGCATTAAGTCTATTTTTTATTTGTTTATCAGCTTGTAAATAGTAAGAGTAGCTCTTAAGATGTTAAAGCAATACACACATATAAAATGAATGTGCACTCTTCATCTCTTTAAAAATAGTCAATAATTATTTTCGGCCATTTGACAATCGATTAGGAAGTGTTCTAACAAATTATGAAAGAGATAAATCGATATCTAATCGATTAGAACATGTATCTAATAGTCTATGGAGCGAACTCGCCACCTAATCGATTAGAAACCATTTTAATTGATTTGGATCCAAATCAGACTAGTTTATTTCTTAATTAGTTTGGTCTAATCGATTAACGCCGCAAACTAATCAATTAAAGAGCGAATTTGAACCATAATTTTTTTTTCTTATTTGGCCAAAGTTTCTTCTTCTTTACAAAGGAGACCTTGGGCTTACTGCCAAGAAATGTAATTTATACTCTTCTCTCTTACTTGGTCTCTTTTGAAAAACTATTTTATACATTTTTCATTATTTTAGTATTGAGAAAACAAAATGTTTAAATAAGAGTTGTATAATTTAATGTTTGAATCAAATCATGTTGTTATGTTAAATCTAGGGTCATGTTCTCTTGTTACATTGTAACTACTATAAAGGGGACAAGTTAAACAGATGTAAAAAGGTTGTGAACTGAATCTATGATAAAATTCGAGGTTGATAATGTTAGAACAAGATTGGTTTTGATCATATCTCAGAGTTTTGATGATAACAATAAATTATATTTTATATATTTGATACTCTGATGAACGTATTTAACTGTTTCAGATAATGTTCTGACAGAAGCATCTTGAAGTGCTGAGCTGAAAATAAATGAAGAAGTTCCTTGATGAAAGAACTATTTGTTTTAGCGCAAGTGATGATGTTGATGCTGTCTCTGATAATGTTCTGACAAAAGCATCTTGAAGTGCTGAGCTGAATATAAATGAAGATGTTATTTTGATGAAATAACCATTTGTTTTAACTCAAGTGTTGATGCTAATGCTGACTCTGGTAATATAATTATTTAATTGCATCTTCTAACGCTTAGCAAGTTTCTGTATAAGCTATGTTTTAGAAGTTCTTTGAAAGCAAGTGTTGTTCAGAAGTTCTTTGAAAGCAAGTGTTGTTCAGAAGTTCTTTGAAAGCAAGTGTTGTTCATAAGATATTTGAAAGCAAGTGTTGTTCAGAAGATATTTGAAAGAAAGTGTTGTTCAGAAGATATTTGAAAGCAATTGTTGTTCAGAAGATATTTGAAAGCAAGTGTTGTTCAGAAGATATTTGAAAGCAAGCGCTGATCAGAAGTACTTAGCAAGCAAAGCATTGTTTAGAAGATATGCAAGCATGTTCTGAATACAAGACGTAAAGCCAAGTTCTGAAAGAATGCAAAAGCTATCAAGTCTTGTCAAGCTTCAGGAGACATGTTCTTACATAGTGCCATTTGCTCATTTAATGCAAAGACGGCTACATGCACTCAAGTGTCTACGCTAGTGCATTGGAAAATGGAATAGTACAAGGAAATACGCAAATATTTAATGCTCTCCATTTTGAAGGCAGCAACGGTCATGTTTTCTCATGCTATATATAGAAGAACATTAATTGCAAGCCAACTACCGAACCACTGCTCAACTGAAACGCTGAAAGGCTGGACAACTGAAGTTCTGAATAGAACTTAACAAATTCAAAAAGAAGCAAGAACAACGCGAAAGATTCAGGGCTCACAAATTCATTATTCATACACTTTGTGCTAAAATATTCTTAGTGAAAAATCACAGTTGTGATATAGCTTTCTTAGAAGAAAACTTTGTTTCACTATCTGTAAAGATTTATATCTTGTAATTGTTCCTTGAGAGACCAAGGTTGGTCAGAATTCTCAAGTAGACTAGGACTAGTTTAAGTCTTAGTGGTGTGAGTCACTTGTAAGGTTACTTGTGAATTGTTAGTCATAACAGTTGTTGTGTGATTGTAATCAGTTGATTATAGTGGATTAAGTCCTTGTTGAGAAAGGCGAAATCACCTTGGCGGGTGGACTGGAGTAGTTTGAGTTTAAACGAACCAGGATAAAAATAACCTTGTCTTTTCATTATTGTTCTGCCTTTAAGAGAAAAGAAAAATAGAAACTTATTCAACCCCCCCCCCCCCCCCCCCCATTCTAAGTGTTTTATCCACCTTCAATTGGTATCAAAGCTTGACTCTGAGTTCAACACTTAACCGTGTCAGGAAAAGATCCAGAAGAAAACACAATGGCAAATGAACAAAACAACAATAACTACACCAGACCTCCAGTGTTTGATGGAGAAGATTTTGATTATTGGAAAGATAGACTAGAAAGTTTCTTTATAGGTCATGATAGTGATTTATGGGATATAGTCTTGGATGGTTACAAACATCCTACTGACTCATAAGGAAATATGATTGATAGGAAAAATATGGATAAACAGCAAAAATCTGATTTCAAAAATCATCATAGAGCTAGAAATATTTTTCTAAATGCTATCTCTAAAGTGGAATATGAAAAGATCACAAATAGAGATACTGCACATGATATGTTTGAGTCTCTTAAAATGACTCATGAAGGAAACACTCAAGTGAAGGAGTCTAAAGCTATGGCTCTCGTCTAGAAGTATGAAGTCTTCAAGATGAAGGAAAGTGAATCTATAGAAGATATGTTCTCAAGATTCCAAACTCTGATTGCTGGCTTGAGAGTTCTGAACAAGGGATATTCTAAGGCAGATCACGTTAAGAAGATCATCAGAAGCTTACCCAAAAGATGGGCACCTATGGTCACTGCTTTCAAAGTTTCAAAAGATTTGAACAATGTGTCTCTTGAAGAACTCATCAGTGCTCTCAGAAGTCATGAGATAGAACTTGATGAGCACGAGCCTCAAGAGAAAGGTAAGTCCATTGCTCTTAAATCAATTATAAAATATGAAACTAAAGCTTTTCAGGGTAAAGAAGAAAACTCTGAAGAATATGCTTCAGAAGAAGATGAATTATCCTTGCTCTCCAGAAGGATCAATCAGCTGTGGAAGCACAAGCAGAAGAATTTCAGAAACTCCAAAAGAACAGGAAATGACTCTGAACAATCCTCTGGACACAGAATATCAAGTAATAGAAACATTACCTGCTATGAATGCAATAAACAAGGTCACTACAAAAGTGAGTGTCCAAGGCTTCAGAAGGAGAAACATAAAGGGAAGTTAGTTAAAGAAAAGAAGAAAAGTCTTATGGCAACATGGGATGATTCTGAATCTTCTGAAGATGGAACAGAATCAGAAGATGAACAAGCCAATATAGCTCAAACTGACAACTTATCAGATGTCTCAGAATCCTCTGAATCTGAATCAGAATCAGACATTGAAGAGGTATTCCTTGACTTAGCTGTTAATTTCACTAAAGCTGAACTAGGAGAAAGTCTGAGTGAAATTCTGGAAAGATATCAGCAACTTCGAGTCAAATTCAGGAATCTGAAAAAGGATCTTGCTTCTGACTCTGAAGTAACTGAGAGTCTGAGATCAGAAAATTCTGAGTTAAAAGAAAAAATTTCAAAACTAGAAAATGATCTACAAAACTCTCAGAAGGAAATAATCTCAAAAGATCCTAGTAATGCTGATAAGATCATAAAGAAATATGATCAAAGCTTTCAGAAGTTTCTAACTAAAAACATAGATAGAAGCAAAATGACTTCAATGACCTATGGAGTTAGCAAGAAAGACAAAATAGGTATAGCATACAAAGGCAAAGTAACGCAGCCTAAGAAAGTTAAGGATCTGGTTATCAAACGTACTCCTCTCTATTCTCACTTCACCACTGAGCACACACATCATATTAAATATACATCTTACTCTGGAAAATCTTATGCTAAACCAAAGTTCAAACATAACTTTAAATACACTAACCCAAGAGGACCCAAAAAGATATAGGTACCAAAAGACAAAATCATCTATGTTGCAGATATTTTTAACAGCAAGGTTGATACTCCAGTACTAACACCTGGACTCTGGATGCTATCTACTCATGGAGGAAAGAAAGCATATGTTCCAAGGCATGAAATCTAAAAGATTCTAAGGTTTCAGAGGTAATCAGAAACAAAAGATTACTGACTCTGAAACTATTGGAAACAGGAATGGAAATACAACATCAGAAGCTCTGAACAAAGCATGTCTAAAAGGAAAGTTTTCATAACTTTCTTTTAAATCATAAATTGTTGATTCTTCCTCTAGGCCACTAGAAACATATTGTATTTCAATCTT